AAACAAAACCCAAAACCCAAAACCCAAGCCCAAATAAATCCATTTAACCCAAACAAAACCCCCCCCAAAAAAAAAAAAAGAATAAAAAAGAAAAAGTTAAATCTTTGCATCTCCAGAACCTTCTTCCTCCCTCACACCCGAGCCAGCCCTGCACTCTACGCGCCCCTGCGCCCTAGGCCCCTGCCCTGAGCCCCGCGCCCCAGCGCTCTGAGCCCTGAGCCCTGAGCCCTGCGTCCTGCGCCTGCACGCTTCTGCTCCTGCACTCTGTGCCCAATCCCTGCTGCAGCGCCTGCACTTTCCCCTTTGCGCCCCTGCGCCCCCTGCTGCACCGAACCTGCACTCCGATCATGCCCAGATTCCCTTGCTCTGCGCACCCTGCTGCGTTGACCCTGCTGCTGCGCCTTTGTCTCTGCAGCCAACCGAGCATGAGACAAACCCGCACCATGTCATTGCCTTGCTGCAGAATGACATCACACTCCAGCTTTCTTGGCTGTTCTGCAGGGCCAGTTTTGGCCTCACCTGATCAACGGTAAAAGAAAAAAGAAAAAAAGGAAAGATCAAAGGGCTCCGGAGTTTGAATTTCTATTTATTTTTTTTGTGTGCTTGGCCTGCTCCCTGTTGAGGTGCAGGGTTAGAAGCTAGCTATTTTTCTCTGATTTGTTTAGCAAGAGTGCTTGGTAGCTTATACCAGTGCAACCCACCAACACCGTGTGATATCTTTTGCAAAATCATATATTTATAGTGTTTGATTAACCGACGGTTTTATCGGTTAAATCAATTGAACCATTCAAATTGCAAACCAAAGGTCAAAACGGTTTGACCTTCGGTTTGAGTTTGAAAACATTGCTTGGGGGGTTCTTGGGTTTTGAGTCTTGGTGTTGACGGCAAAGAAAAGAGAGGGATTTCGGCTAGAAGGAAGCAGCAGCTTGAGAGGAGATCGTTAAGCTCTTAAGGAGTGACTGTTTTTGGAAGCTGCGTTTCTGGATTTATCTTTGCTTTAGGTATTTTTCTTCAACAGAGGAGTCCTTTTTGGGGAGGCAGTGAGGGGAATGATCTGGACTTGATCCCGTGGGAGGGATCCGCCAGATCGGACTGCGATCTGTTACCCAGAAAAGCTCTGCCGTGTTTGTTTCGTTTGTCTTCTTGTTTCTATGATTTGCTTTTTTTGATGTTAAGATTGTATGTGTTTCGTTGGAAAATGAATGAAAAACCAAAAAAAAAAATTGTTCAGTTCATTTTACAATGTGCCTCTTTTTTTTTGTTGTTGAATGTGATTCTGTTCATGATGAACATGTACTTGATTTCAAGAGTGATGAACCTTGATTGCAAATTTTCTTTATCCATGTTTGATTTGTCTTGGTTTATTTTGAGTAGTGGGTCGTGTTTATAGGTTGGACCAATCCAACCCAATTCAATATAAAAAGAAAAAAAAACTAAAAAGGTTAAAAAAAATTATTAATATAAAATTATTAATTAATTAAAAGAGTTAGTTTAATTTATAATTACTGAAGTTAATTAATTTAAATTAAAATAAATTAATCATATTTATTGAGATTGATTTGAGATGATTAAATTTATTTAGTTATCTCAATTAATGATTAGTAAATATGATTAATTAATTTTAATTAATTTTGATTAATGTTAAGTTAATTATTTAATTAGATTAATTATCTTGATTAATTAATTTTTAATTTTCAATTAACTTTAATCTTGGTCAAAGTCAAAGTTATCTTTTATTTCATCTCAATTTCACCCACAAGTTTTATGATTAAGCAATTTAGTCCCAAAGTCTCAACTCTTTTCAAATCAATCCTTCATGTTTTGAATTTAATCGAATCAGTCCTTTATCTTTCGAATTTTATCAAATTAGTCCTTTTAATTTTTATTTATGTTCATGGTGCATGCATGTCTTGATTTTGTTCATTTTAATCCAAAAATTTAGATGTGTTTCAATTTGGTTTATCTCTTTTTTCAAGTTTGCTTATTAAGACTCAAACATCAACATGATGAATAAGTTGAATCAAAACTCCCAATGTTAAAGTATGCAACCGTGTTTAAACGGAGGATTGTGAGGTGCGCGTATGCCCTTCCTCACTCCTAACTGAACCCCCGAACCTCGATCTCTACGTAGACCCGTTTTAGGTGACTTATCCTATCTTATAATTTGGATAAGTGGTGACTTCCCTTTTCTTTTATATTTTCACACTTGATTTTTCATTTGATTTGAAAAATCTTAAATGGTAGTCAACAAGTTCTAACAAAAGAAATATGTTAACTTATGAGTCCTTTATTTTGCGATTTAAATTACACTAAATTATAAAATAGGAAGTCATTGGATGTAAGAGAATCAAGGACTCTAAATATGAAAGTTTTCCTATTTAATTATAAATGTTGTATAATTCAAACTGTAAAATACTTTTTTCTTTACTTATCATGGTTAAAGAAATTTGATTAAAAAAAGAACTAATTATGTAAAGAGCGAGTGTTGTTAAGAAATAATATTGTTTGCTAGTAGTGATCATTAGCATTTGGTTGGTGACTACAATTATATATCCGAGTTGCATTCATCTAATCAAATTTTATTCTTCCTTCATATAATTGAATAAGATGTGGATTAGAGGTACTTACCGTTTACAAAACCGAGCGCAAATCCAGTCACCAAGGCAACTCGGTTTTCTGCATGAAGTAAACAAAATTAGCCAAAACCTTCTGCCACTAAAAAAAGAAACCACCAAGAAATGGAAAAGCATGTGCACAACTGGAACTCAAATCCAAAGAATGTGTTTCTAAAGTACCACTATATGTACGAACACAATGGTTTTCCAGATTAATAATGTCGCGATAAAACCACCGGTCCGCTCCGCAGGTAGCATTACTCCACGACAACTCAAATCCATAGGCTAACCCATGTTGGATGTCTAGGTAGGAGAGGTCCTCGTAGTTCTTCTCCTGTATTGACGATACAACTGCCACTGACTCAATACGGCATGAAGGTTTTACCTCATATGAACTTGTTCTTCCAATTTTCACATAATAATACCTTTTGCCTTCAGATTCAGGCCTATAAGGTTTGGAGAAAGAGCTACCGTTAATGCAAGCAGGAGCTTCCACATAAAGAGGAGCATTTACAGGTTTTTCACAACTTATGAAAAGATTGCTCTCCTAAGGATAAACAAGATATGGATCCGGATAATCTGGATAATCTGGATAATCAAGATAATAACTTCCTGAAGACGTTGGGAAGTTATAGGCGGCCCAGGAATACTGAGGTATGGAGCAGCTACCTTCTTCAACACTGGCATCAGCGACTCGAATTGTTTGATTGCCATAATTGATTGCTTTCACATAGAATTTTCCTGATTTAAAATGCAATACTGTAAGGTTGTTCTCACAAGATAAAGTATATATTGGGACTTTAGTCAATCCACAGTATGGGGGATCTGTGTTTAATCTGAAAGGGTAGCTAATATTTAGATTATTTCCACAAGAAGAAGATGGACAGTGATGTTTATCTTCGGCACTGCAGGTCTCATGAATTAAGGCGACAAGAAGAAGAAGGAGAGCTGCAAAGATGAGGCCTGGCCTACGCATGGAGATGGGCAAAAGGTATCCGCAACTTTCTGGTTCGTTAAACAAAAGTCCAGTAACTTACAAAAGAAATACAATACTTCTGGATCTTAGAAATACCACAGTCCACCTTCCATCATTCGAAGAGGAGTGCTAGGGGGTGGCCCAATGAAAGGGGAAGTGTTGGCCGGAGAGTGCCAGAGGCGAGTGCCCCTGGCACTGCTCTCATTCGAAATATCATCAGAATTCAATTTTTTTTTTTTACAAGGATAATAGTTAGGAAATTAGTTTGAATTAGTTGTTAGCAACTGGGGATTCGATCCCCAGACCGGGTGAATATTTCACTCCTTAAATGAGACGCGTGACCGTCAGGCCGCATTTGGTGGAGTTCACGATGATGGTAGAGCTCGAAACTTTGATCATCTCACTCAAACACTTAAAATTTGGAATCAAACCATTAAACCTAAAGAACCTATTCGAATTGAAACTTGTATTTATTTATTTAGAATGCGGAAAAACACCATCAATAATTAAATTGAGACTGTTGTACCTGGCCCCAGGTAATGACCTTTCTTGATGGTTTCCTTTTAGATGATGCTTACCTTGCAATTAGACAAAACAATCAACTTTAGAATTTTGGGTACAAAAGGATACCTCAATTTCCATCCGTCCCCACACGTCGCCCGAATTTCCTCTTTTATCCTTTAAATAATAGCATTTTTCCTCAAATACCCCCTATTCCCTACAGTCTGCCTTTGTCTCTCGTTTCTCCTCTTAGCTCTCCAAGAACAGGACACAAGCCCACGTGAAGATGCCTGAGCAACGGTACAATGATTTCTATTTTACATCTTCGTCTCTGATTCCCAAAACAAAAAGGACGCCAGACCTGTAACCTTTTTGTCCGTCCGTGTGCTACACCAGAGAGAGAGGGTTGGCTTGGCTTTTTGCAATGAAAGTTGGGATATATGAATTGATTAAAGATCGGATGGCTGTGAGTGGCTTTCTTAAAATTTCTTCTCTATAAAATTGGTGATTGAGGGAGAGAAAAGATGAAAAACCGAGAAAAAAAAAATTTA